CTCTAAACAAAGTGTTACAATACAGCTCACTGTACCTGTCAAGATCTAGTAGAAGCCTCAATGAACATGATACATTCATAATATGCAGAATCTTTTCCCATATCAGATCAAAGGAAATAGTAGAGCTTGGAGGTTTCTCCCCCTCTCCCGCTCCCGATACAGTTGAAAAGATTGATGAATTGCTTTAAAAAGAAAAAAGAAAATCAGATGCTGTAGATTTCATAATCTTGCTAATAGCAAGACTCACAGCACAGTAATACCCAATTCATTGTTTAATCATTGATTTACTTTTGTGATATACATACAAAAGTAAAATCCTAATGTAGATTATTTGATTCATACTGTAAAAATTTTGGGGAGGGTCCATACCTCACAATCCTCACAATCCTAAGCATAAATATACTCCACTGAGTTTAGTTAGCTTTTTTTTTTGTACTTTACACTGATGGTAACAAATTTAAACAAATCACAAATCAAAATTGTAGATTGTTATTATTATTTAAATGTACATGCTGTCTTTCAGAAAGGGAAGTATATATTGTAATTATTGTGATGATTATTCATCTGTTACTTAGAAGAATTGTTATGAATTGGTTCTTCTTCCAAAATTATCTCACACTTTTCCAGAAGATGCCCTAATCCTCCAGGACAGATTTTGGATATATGTAAATAGGGTGGAATAAAATTATAAATAGTGAAACAAACAAAAGACAAGAGAAACAAATATTACCTATGTTTACAGATATATTTGTGGCATTTGTGACATTTTAGCAGAGCTGAGCAACTTTCACCCCTCCAGATATTTTGACTTTACAATTCCTATTAACTCTCTGACCAAACCTACTGGTGTTGAAATTTGGTAACTCCTAGAGCCATAGAGCTATATGCCCATCCTTTGTAACATATAAGAGGAGAGCCCCTCAAATGGTGATCCTGTAGTCTGGTTTTCATTATTGGAGAAAATTAGTATGAAGGGGAAACAGAAGAAGCAGAAAACAAGGGTCATCTAATGAAGCTGATTAGTAGGAGATTTTAAAGATTTTAAAAAGTACTTCTTTACACACTACATAAGTACAGGTAGTCCTTCAATATAGCCAGTTGCTTAGTGACCATTACATTATGATAGATTCCCCCCCCCCCAAAAAAAAACTTACAATCTGATTTCAAAAAGCCCTATATATACAGAGTTCTGAAAGAAGCAATGAAAATATAAAAAACTGCATCGGACAATATTTATTTCATCCATTCAGTATATTTTTAAACTTCACAACAATCCCACCAACTGAGCTAACCCTGTAAAGGACTGTCTTTGGGTGATATGGCAGACTTGAAAAGGTGGTGTATTTTCACAAGCCAAGTATTTGCCCAGTTTTTCTGAATACCATGATTCCCTCACCCCCTTACCACTTCCCTGACAAGCTAAAAGGCCAACAATGAAAGCAGGAAAAATGCTTTAAAACTTGCTCTTTGTAGTTTCCACATGGAGACCGCTTCTGAACTTCATGCTCAATGTGGAAAAGAATAAAACCCTGACATTGGGTTTTACAGTTTAGACTGATAAATCTTTATAGAAATAACTTGTCTATACTATTATGGAAAAGCAAAAAGTTGTGATTTTATGTTAATTGTTATTGTTATTTTATTGTAACAGAGTGAGTCAGAAGTAAATGCTCCCCCCCCCAAAAAAATTTGCTCACTTCTCTTCCCCTTTGCCCATCCCCCCACTGCTTTTCTATTCACTTTTGTGGTTTATAAATACTCTATAACTCAATAAAAATGCTTACAAAAAAAACCCCTTACTCTTTGTACAGTATATGGTTTACTACCAGATCAGAGCTGCAAAACTCTGGACACTCCTGAGATGATAGCAAAGAAATGAAATTTTAACTTTTAGCTGCCATTTGGTGGTGGTCTATATTTTTTACAGCCCAAATGAAATAGCTGTGATCATTGGTTGAATGGTTGAAACTTAGGGGCCTGGGGCAACAGAGTTGATTTTGACCCCAACAAAGGAAACATATCTGTAAAGAGTAACTATTGTTTTAATTTTTTTAAAAAATAGCTAAAGAGATCAAAGTAAAAAGATGAAGAAAAGGCCTGCAGATTAAATATGGATTGTGAAGCACTTTTCTTACAAAGAAAGAGGCTTAAAAGACTGGAAAAACGACAGTTAAAAGGGATTGGGTTATTACAATATGATGAAAATATGTAAGATTTGGCATGGTAAAAGTGAATATAAGAAATACTGTATGTTTACCATTGCTTGCATAAGTAGAAATAGAGGCTTGGTCTGCCAAGAAATGTGGTTGATATCAGTCCCATGAAAACTAATTGTTAAAAGGACTTGTCTGTGTATATACTGTATGTATGTGTGTGTGTGTACACACAGATATCTTCGGATTAGTTTTTTTTTTCTCTTGGTGACTCCTGGTCAAGTCCCTGCAGTTTTCTTGACAAGGTTTTTCAGAATTCGTCATTGAGAGAACATGTTTAGTGACATCCTACTGGCTTTCTGCTTAAAGTAGACTAGAATTCAGAGTCTCCTGGTTTTTAGCCTAATGCTTTAACCACTACGTCAAACTAGCTCTCTTATATTATTGCACTATTATAATATTATTATGCATTCTTATATTATTGCACTATGAATGCAGAGAGGTAGAGCCAATTATATATCTTTTTTTCATCCAATTATCTTATATTTGGGGTGGTTGCATGGGAAAGACAATATGATTGGCATCTTCTCCATGAATTTTTAAATAAATACCATAGCGCAACAGATCTCATTGCAGTAGGCAAATATATATAGTATAAAGCCTGGGATATTGGAATATTGGTTTTTCATCCTAGGGATACTTCTGTTAGGCTGTCTCTGAAAGAAGTTGTGGAAAAGTTATGTACATTCACGGTTGATTTATGTGAACAATTAGTCCTTCATTACTAGACCTAAACACATTTAAGCAGAGATCTAGTTTCATACCTGTTGCCCTCGTTTGGAAAATTATCATGGCCCTGTGAGGCATGAATGAAATATGTGGTCAAGTTATAATGACCCATGAACGCAAGTCAAATGTTTACATAAACCCAGAATGTTTTACATTTGGTAGAGGATGTGTATACATTTATTTATTAAGTTTGTATGCCACCCATCTTGTCCAGATATATGTCCTTTCCTCCACTAAGGATTTGCATGGCTTTCGATTCAAACTGCTAGATGGGCTGGACCTGGGGCAAGGAATGGGAGCCCACTCAAATCCCAAGAGCTTATTTACTAATGTTGTATCAGAACCATTTTCCAGTTTATTGTAGGAATATGTGCTTATCAAGTGTGCAGATGACATAGAGTTGGGAGGGGTGACTATTAACGAAGAGGAGAGAAAAAAGATTTAGACAGTCTTGTGCACGTCAATAGGACAAATGAAAGGGCTACATATAGGATGGAGAAGATCAGTCTTAGCACTAGTATAAGTGAAAGCCTCTAAGGGCTAGCTGACCACACATCGAACGTGAGTCAGCAGTGTGATGTACTGCAAAAAACAAGTGCTATTTTTAAATTTGTGAATAGGAGCATAGAATTCAGAAAAGGGCTGTCCAAATGGTGAAGGATCTGAGAAGAAAAAGATGATTGAATGGAGGATATGGTTTTTTTTCCTTTTTTTAAATCTAGCAGAGGTTCCTAAATCTGAATTGTAATGGAAAATAGCTTTTCAGCTGGTCCTATAATCTCCCTTTCTCACTGCTGAGACTGTACACTATGCTAGACCAAGAATGTAAAAAACTCTACCCCCATGAACTGAGGGTGGCTTACAAGTAGCGTTTTGTCATTCCCCAAGCAACCTATATATCTTGGCCATATGGCAGCATGTTAGGGGCAGGATTAGGGGGCAAAAACCATTTTATTTGTCCCTTAAAATCTCATGCCCAGATTGGTTCCAGCTCTCCTGAACTTTTAGACTGCAGTTTTCAATATGTTGACAAGAGTGAATAGTCTTGTCTTTGATCGGATAAGTTGTCTGCACCTCAAAGCTAAGTTATACTTCTGATGGGGTTGTGCCTTATGCTTGATGGATTTAGAGCATTGAAAATCTTGACGTATGGTTTACTATTCTATGTGAAGCAGGTCATTACTGGCTTCCACAGAAAACTTATATGTGAACCCCAGTGTTTGAATCTACTTCATTGTTAGGTGCGCAGTGTGAGTGAAAAAGATAACATGATGTTCTCTTTTTGAATGATAGAGTCCATGAATCACAGGGGAGCCAAGGTCAGTCTGAATGATTGTAAAGCTAAAGTTTTAATGTGCTTTTTAGCAATGGCAATTACAGTATTTTCCACATTACTGTATCTGTAAATAAAAAATATAATGGTGTTTATTATGGTATAAGTTCCAGACAGTTTCACAGCCAAAGTGTGTGTGTTTGTGTTTGTGTTTGTGTGTGTGTGTGTGTGTGTTTGTGTGTGTGTAGGGGAGGATTCTTTTGTGTCCTCTGGAATTAGTTAGCAGATAATATGTAACTGTGAGATTTCATGTAGTGAATGATATGAGAGCAAAGGACAGAACAGCTTGACTTCCCCAACCTTTGTGATTTGGGGGGGGGGGGTTTGCAGGTGTCTGCTGAAGAGGCCAGCTAGAAAAGACAATTTCTTACAAAAGTGACTTCTTTCTTTGATAGCTGGTGAGAATAGAAATATGTAAATGAGCAAATCTGAAAGCAGACACAACTTCCCCTTTTGCTTTGTGGCCATTTTCTTTTCTTTTGTGTTTCTTTAAATTTATAGCAGAAAATCCCACACATAGTTGCCACTTTTGAAAATATCCCTCAAAGAAAAGAAATAAACGTAACATCTCGAAGTAAAATCTTTAGAAATATAATAGCTACAGTATATGTTGTGAGAAGTTATTATCAGGGGATTAAACTTAAAGGGAATACAGGAATCAGAAGGGAAATGACATAGAAGTTAATGCTGGCTTTAAAAAAAATAACATTTTTTTCTTGTTTCAGAGAGAAAAATAGCAGTTTTCCTGAAAAACAGTGCTTTCTTGAAAAACAAACAAGCAAGGTACTGTGACATTCAGTCTCTAAAATGATATACGATCCCTAAATCTACAGTTCAGAAGCATGTTCACAATTACTTGGCACAACTATCAGAATATGAAACCATTAGGAATATTTTCAAGTCTTGGAGACAAAGCTCTGCTCGCTAAGAACTTTTGTTCTGTAGAAAGACAGGGAGGTACAAGTGAACAACGGAATCAAAAGGCTGGAAATCTGCTGCTGTGAATAAATGTTAGCTGGTCCCTGAGGTGATTTGTCTGCGCACTTCACTTTCTACAGATGTGAGATCCTCTCTTTTTTTTTTTCACAAGGACCTGAGGTTCTTTGGTAGCACTTTGATATCCTGTTTGAATTCAATATGTGAAATGGAGGAGTCGCTCTGTGACTGGGAGCACAGCCGTCTTTGAAGTCTGATCCAATTTTTGCTGCTTACCATTTGATGTTGCAAGGATGAAATGAAGAAAATGTACAGTTTTTGCCAGTAGCTCTGCTGAGCATATGTAAGATTAAAAAAACAAAATCCCTTGGATGATGTACTTAGAAATGTTAAGCAGATTAATACCTTCCTATAGCTTTTTTTTTACTTCTAAAGATACAAATTAACTTTGAGCAAAAATCAGCATATATCATATGCCATTATTCACAGTTTTTCTGTGCCAGAGAGGGAAACAGGTAGAAGGAAGAACAAAAAAAAAAGGACAGCTGCTGAGGAAATTCACTGGGCTTGTCCCACTCAAATGTAGACTCAACAGAACTGGATTGACTAGAGAGAATTCTAAGGTACTATTAACTATTAAGTTCCCTGGCTGAATCCCTCCAAATTGGATAGACATGTCAGTTGAGAGTTGTGGTTGAATACATCTGGAGGCATCAGTTTAGGGAAGACTGTCTCCAATCTAGCACTGAAACTTGCCAAAGACCATTCAGAATATTAAATATAATTCAGTTGTAAAATATATGTGCATGTCTTGAAGACTACAAAGTTGGATTGAAAAACAACTCTTTTCTTCTTCCCTTTTCCTTTCCTTTTTTCTTTTCAAGATTTTAGCTGAAACTTCAGCATCCCTGGCCATTCTGAGACATTCAGACCAAGTGAAAGATTTGCAACCTTTCTGCTACACCCGTTTAGCTGCAGATCATCAGCTCTCTTGTCCACAAAGACCACTGGAAAGTCAAGGTAGGAAATGTATAGAAAGGCATAGTTGTTAACATATACTTTTTCTTATGTTAAAAAAAAAAATTACAATTCTCTAAAAGGACCAAAAACAGATAGACAACAGATTCAGAAGGAGTCGGGTTATCCTGTCAATCTTTTTCTCCTTAATTTTAAATAATACAAATTAATTACAAAAGCCATCTACTCCGTCTTTCCCTATTGCATGCATGGACATTGTCAGCTAATGATGTTATTTTATAAGGTAAAAGGTAAAAGTTCCCCTCGCACATATGTGGTAGTTATTCCCGACTCTAGGGGGCAGTGCTCATCTCCATTTCAAAGCCGAAGAGCCAGTGCTGTCTGAAGACATCTCCATGGTCATGTGGCCGGCATGACTAAATGCTGAAGGCGCACGGAATGCTGTTACCTTCTCACCAAAGGTGGTTCCTATTTTTTCTACTTGCATTTTCACGTGCTTTCGAAGTGCTAGGTTGGCAGAAGCTGGGACAGGTAACGGGAGCAATCGGGATTCGAACAGGGAGCACTCGGGATTTGAACAGGGAGCACTAGGGATTCGAACAATAAACAGGATTGCTAGGGTTTCAAACAGGGAGCGCTAGGGATTCGAACAGTAAACAGGGGTGCTAGGGATTCGAACGGGAGCGCTAGGGTTTCGAACAGTAAATCTCAAGGATTTATATTTTAGATATACCTTTGGGACTATCTATTCCTGTTCATTCTCACTTCTGCCTACATAACATTTGCAGAATCACATTCAGATCCTGTAAGTCTATGCAAGAGAAATCTGGAAACAATTATATGAGGATGGTTGACAGCTAAGATAAAATGATGTCGAATCAAACAAGTTAGATACACCATGTCTGCAAGCCAAAACAAAAATCAAGGTGTGAAGAACGGTCTGTATGTAAAAGAATTAGTCTGATGGCTTGTGAGAAAAGAAGCAAGAATAATATGAAGGACTACATGGGCTTTATACAGAAGAGCAGAGAAAGGCTAAGTAAGGTTAGCCACGGACAAAACAGTTGTGTGTTGGTTTGACTGCTTTCTCTAAAGCCGGTCCCAATTGGTGTTCACTGCCGCTGTTTTATGGTGTGCAACAAGGCTCGGTACTCTCCATTCCTTTTTAAAATCTGAAGCTTCTCAGTGAGATCATCCTTCACCATGGATTGAAGTATCTCCAGTATAATCAACTTTATATCTCCACTCCTGGTGACACAAGTAATGCTGTTGCTGTGCCTTTCACAGTGCTTGGAGGCTATGGGAGCCTGGATGGGGGACAACAGTCTTCAACTGAACCTTGGAAAGATTGAATGGCTTTGGGTGCATGGAGCTCCAAGATCTGAGACTGAGACATCTTTATTTCTGGGTGGGGTGGCACTACTCCAGACAGACCCAGTCCACAAACTGGGGGGGGGGGGGTTCCTCCTGGATTTGCGACTCTTGCTTGAAGAACAGGTGGTAGGTGCAGCTAGGAGAGCATTCACACAACTCTAGGTTGTGCACCAGTTGCAGCCTTTCCTGGATCAGGCCTTGCTGTGCTCAGTCATTCAAGCCCTAGTCATCCCACATCTGGACTATTACAATGTGGTTTACATGGGGATACCCTTGAAGAGGATTGAATGAGATGTGGTGGGGGAGTGGTTGAAATGCAGTATTGCAGGCTAATTAAGCTAATTAAGCCAGCAGTTCAATCCTCACCAACTCTAGGTTGACTCAACCTTCCATCCTTCCAAGGTGGGTAAAATGAGGACCCAGATTGCTGGGAGCAAGATGCTGACTCTCTAAACCGCTTAGTGAGGGCTGTAAAGCACCATGGAGTGGTATATAAGACTAAGTGCTATTGCTATTTGGAAGCTAGAACTGGTGCAGAATGTGTCAGCACAGACAGTCTTTGGGGCCTCTACAGTGAACCATGTTATACTGCTTTTCCATGAGTGACTTTGGCTGCCGTTTCTTTCCGGATGCTATTCAAAGTGTTGGTTATCACCTTTAAAACCCTACGGGAGGAACTGTCTCATCCCAATGGGACTGGCCTGCCCCACCTAGACCCGCAGAGGAGGCATGGTAGCTAATTTAAAATGTACATGTGAGAAGAGAGTCATTTCTTGTTATTGGTAAATAATGGGAGTCAGAAATCCTTGCTCTAGTGCAGATGGCCCAGAGGCTTAGTAATAAATCCAGATCATTTTTTTGTCCTGTCCATGATGACAATATTTTAATACGTCTGAAATATCAAACCTATATCAGGAAGGGAACAATAGGTGAAAGCAATCTATCCAAAACAACATTTATATGCTGACACTTTAAATGTTTTATCCACCCAAGTAAGGCCTTGAGGATTATTACATGCATTTGTATATTTGAAATATATAGTGCAGTGGACCGACTGAGTCTGTAGGATGGAAAGTGCTTCTCCCTCAAAAACTCTCTGCTTCCTGTTTTGGGATAACTGCTTGGTAGCTCTCATTGTTGATGGTTCTCAGATGGCACTTGCCCGGAATCCTAACTCTAGCTTATAAACTAAATTTAGAGTTGCGCCTGCTACTGCCCGTAGCCATCGCCACATACCGACCCTGCAGTGGTGAAATTCAATTTTTTTTACTACTGGTTCTGTGGGTGTGGCTTGGTGGGCATGGTGTGGCTCGGTGGGCGTGGCAGGGGAAGGATACTGCAAAATCTCCATTCCCTCCCCACTCTGGGGCAAGCCAAAGGTGGTATTTGCCGGTTCTCCGAACTAGTCAAAATTTCCCCTACCAGTTCTCCAGAACCTGCTGGATTTCACCTCTGCTATCCTGCAAAGGAATTGATGGGTAAGCATAGATTTCAGATAGCTGCAGGTAGACCAATGCAAACACTCCCAATGGGGGTGTGCATCCTGCATACTGATTGGTCAATCCAACTTCCTGTTCTGGGCTTTGCCGTTTGAGTGCTCCCGAGCCAGAATGTTAAAATTTGTAGACATGGGACTCCAACAGCTGTGCAACTGTCTTTCAATGACAGATGGATGTGTTCCTTCACGCAAAGTGCCAGAGATGTCTGCTCGACCCTTAAGAGACATAGGACCCTCACAACCTGTACTCCCTTACTGACAGTTTTGAAAAGTGAAAATGAAAAAAAAAGCAAGGCAATTTTAACAGTCAAATTTCTTGGTTGGTTGGAAAATTCAAGTTAACATTATAGATTAGAATAACTTTCTAAATTAAAAAAATGTTTCCCATACAGTGAGATAAAGGGGTAAGGTTATATGCTAAATTCATAATTTTTACAAATAACTAAAAATGTTGAGCTTTAGTACTATAGAAGCATAAAACAATTAGCACTATTTCCTGGCTCAACGTTTTACTTAATACTACAGAATTGAAACACATTTGAACTAGATATTCATTGTACTTCATTTACCTGGATTCTTTCAGCCTCTTGGAAATTCCCCAACTTTAATCTGAGAATTATTTTTGTTTTTTTTTCTGGCCTCATTTCACAGCTGGAGCTCTGCCCCTAATTTTTTTTTTTAGCAATTTTTTTAAATTCAGAAACTTAGAATACAAACTCAAAAAAGAAAAGAAAATTAGACAAACATACGGGTAGCCCTCGACTTACAACAGTTCATTTAGTGACTGTTTGCAGTTACAATGGCACTGAAAAAAGTGACCTATGATCATTTTTCACCCTTATGACTATGGCAGCATCCTCATGATCATGTGATTTACATTCGGATGCTTGACAACTGGTTCATATTTATGATAGTTGCAGTGTCCTGGGATCACGTGATCCCCTTTTGCAATCTTCTGACAAGCACCAAGTCAATGGGGAAGCCAAATTCACTTAACAACCATGATACTAACTAAAGAACTGCATTGGTTCACTTAACAGCGGTGGCAAGAAAGGTCGTAAAATGGGTCAAAACTCACTTAGCAGATTTCTCATTAGCAACATAAATTTTGGGCTCAATTGTGATCGTAAGTTGAGAACTTTTAAAAAGTGGATTAAAAAGAAGCACACACACGCGCACACAGTCTCCCCCCCCCCCTCTAATTGAATACTGGTAAATATATTGCAAAAATGATAGCTTCTTCCCCTGTTTGTCTTCACAATGTTTACAAAAAGGGATAAAACTCTTTGGGAAGCTTTTGAAAAAAAATGCTCTTGAGCTTAAAAGTTTTATTTGAAAACTTTAATTTTATAATTTAATTTAATTTTTAAAAAATTGATGGGTCAGCAATGGTTTTGACAATCTCAGGGTGACAATCAAAGGCAGAAAATAATAGCTGGACTTGATTTGCAGTCTGATGGACTGGATTCTGGTTTGGCACTGCCAGATTTAAAGAAAAAAAAAGAGCCTGGCCTGAGAATTGCAGCCCTGGTGGAAAAGGTTGAAAGGGACACGGACAAAAGAAACTGAGAGATGGTGAAATTAATGAGTAATGAACTGGACTTTATTGGATCAACTTTGGAAAATCGATTCATTATATTTAACCAGACAACCATTGACAAGAGATGCCTTGTTTTCGCTTACAGAGAAGCTGTAGAGTGGGTGCTACAGAGATATTCACAGCAGAGGCTAATGATTCTAGGAAGTAAGATGCAATTGTTCTCAAAAGCTCTCAATTAAAATTTTAAGGAAACATTTTATCATTAAGAATCAAAGAAGGATCCTGGATGGACCAGAGATAATGACTGCAGTAATTTGTGTTATACACACAGACATGCACACGTGTGTGTATGTATATGTATATAGCTAGAGAGAGAATACAGATGTATATAACAGGTCAAAGTGGTTACAAATAAATGAAGAACAGGGGTGTCAAATTCTATTTCATTGAGGGCCGCATGAGGGTTGTGTTTGACCTCAGAGGGCCGGGGAGGGGAGGCCATAGCCGGGAAGGGCAGGATGTGGCTATGGGGTGTGGCCAGGGTGGGTGCAACATGGGACCGCACCTCTGCAAACATGGTTTTATAAACTTACAAAAATAGAGAGGCGTACATTTCTGTGATTTTGTTTT